AGAGAGAGAGAGAGGAAGAGAAAGAAAGGGGTTCGTTATTTATAACTCGATCGTGTAATTTTCCAAGCAATATCGGAAACTAATTATTTTTATGATGATTAGTAGTTGATTAATATCCTGCCATCTAATACTTCAGTGGATGAATAAAACATAAGCGGCTTTCTGCTATACCTCTAGCATATCATCGACAAATATAACATAAACGGGAAACAGTTAATGAATATTTCGATAGAAGTATTGATCTAAATTAGTTAAAATCGAAGTGTTCATGAAATATTTAGTGATTAAATTGCTAATAATTGTCAATTCAAATTATCATTTATTAATAATAAACCGTGCATATAATTTGTAATCATCAATTCAAATCAATAATCGATAATCATAGAATGAAAGATTACTGACTGATTTATTATACATATTGATATTTCGCGATAGAAAAATATTTTCATTTGTAATAAGTACTATCAATGAGAAGATATTCCTGTATGCTGTCATGACCGAAGTCATTAGAATATCGTGAATTATTTATATGAATTCAAAATGAGAGTCATATTGAGGGTAACTTTAACTCTCTTTCTCTCTCCTCTACATAACGTACGATTATTATAAAACTTCTTACTCATAGCTACATAAATTTTATTTAGAAAATTATCAAGAATTTAAAAATAGCCTATTAATTTAAATCGATGGAAGAGATTATATTTTCCGATTAATAATTAACAATGTAATTGAGATCGATTTATTATCTTAGCTTTAATTATTTTCATTAATTATGGCCATTATGATTATTCGATAATCATAATTATTAATCACTAATTAAGGCTGAGCAATCAGTGCTCATACTAGTGATTGATTTTATTACACTTTGCTCAACTCTGTGCCCTTAGGAAAGGAGAAGAAGATAAACGGGGTAACGAGAAGAATCGGAGGGTTGTGTAAGGGTGGAGGTGGTGTGCGATGGTGAATGCGGTGGTTGATAAGTGGCGCGGGACACAATCAGCGGCACGAGACACGAGCGGATTGTTGAACCTCTCGACTCCCCTGCGAACGATCATATCCGCAGCGGCGTACAGAGGGTGGATTTCGGGCACTCTGCTGAGGGATCGTAGGGAGAACGTGAATTCCAGAAAGAGACGACACGCGAGAGGACGGACCGCGAGAGGAGGCGGGGCGGGGAGCAGCAGCGGCGAAAAATAGGAAGCAATAAAAGGTCCTCGTGACGGAGGGGCTTCGCACGGCCCTGGCGCGACTGCGGCACTGTACCCCTGCGGGGGGCTCGCTGCCGACCACACCGAATCCACCGTCCACCCCGGAACATAAGTCCCAAGTAAGCAAATTAGAAGAACAATCATCATCTCTTGATTTTCTTCTCTACAATTCATTTTCTACAATACAATTATTCGCCGACGACCTAATAATTATAATTATTTAATTAGCTTAACTAGCGAGCCGAAAAGAATCAGGGGGGGAGGGGAGGCCTCTTCCCGCTCCCGTTTCATTGTACAATGTCGAATTATCGAGTTACATTCCAAATTATATTTATTTTCGCGTGACGGACACGCGTGAGGGAGAATGCTGCGAAACGCACGCAACTGTTTCGTAGGGGTGTTCGAGGAGTCGCGAGTCGGCAACCAGATGTGGCAGTTTGGGAAGTAGCGCGTGTGACACGGGGGATACATCGCAGTCGCAGCCATCGCGAGGACAGCATGGAGCCGACGGCGGCGGCGGCGGCGGCGGCGGCGGCGGCGGCGGGCGGGACGGCGATCTTCTGTCGTCCGCGATCCGGCGGTTCAACTTCAAGTCGGCCGGCGGTAGCCGTAGCTGCCGCACGGTGCCGAAAGTCGTGGTCATGGGCTCCAGCACGGCGTCCGAGACCACGATCAACACGAGCACCGACAGCGCCAACACCATGCTCACTATGGTAGGTTACGTAGGTGATGAGGCGCGTTTCGTGAAACGGGCGCGTTTTATCAAGCGGCGTTAGGCGTGCCGTAAGGCGTGCAAATTTGACCGGACGTGGGTGTCCAGCGTACGCTGTGCGGAATGCATGCGATTTGTATACGCTGAGAGCGCGCACGTTGCTGATAAACGACCGTTGTTACGACCGAAAAATTAAACACGAAAATTAGTGTCAAAATTTTAATCGGGATTGAAATTATTGGGTTTCGGGCCCACGTTTCGAGATTTTACTTGGATTATCGACTCGCGTTTGGGGGATGTGTGCTATTTATGGCGCGACTCTGCAAGACTCGCACATGTACATAAAGCGACGCTAAACATTATATCATTAATATTAAAATGAGCAATGTGCGGACTGCATCGCGTGGTTTTGCGGGGCAATGCCAGAGTTTAAACACAGGCTTCGGTAAATGTCTCATAAGCATTACGATATTAAACGGTAATTAGGTATGTTAATTGACGAAGCGCGCGCGTGTCCTGCAATATTGCATCGCAGTACCGAGAAGAACAAAGTTCTATCGAACTGTGCAACGATATCGATAGAACGTTACGCTTCACATTTGCTCTTTAGCGAATCTATACCGCGGAAAGTGTGTTCTTCGCGTTGGAATTTAATGTGCACCCCTGCGTGCTTAGTATTCATATTTCCTGCAGTTAAGCATGAAACCGACGCGCGAACCCCGTCGTATACGCTTTTCGCTCGGAGCATGATAATTTAAATTAATTTTAAATGAATTAAGAAATACGCTCAAATTAAATGAACAATTACGAGAACCGGATATTTTTTTTTCCCCCTCACAGGGTGCGACTAAAGAAAGTGATTAATGCGTTGAATTCGTGGAGATGTGAGTAATGGGAGAATACCCCCGAAACAATTCGAGATATATATTCTTTTAGATTACCAACCGTTTCGAAGATACTCATTCGTCATACTTTCTTGCAAACTCGAATACATCAATGTTGTTTCGAGTGACACGCGCTTAATAAAGAAATAAATTGATTCCGGTAAAAAATATCTTAAATTTTGCACGAGATAATAATTTAATAAATATCTAAAAAAAAAATCTAAAATATCCTTAAAAAAGAAAAGAAAATAAAAAAAAAGAAGAAAGAATTAAATTAATGTGAGATATTTCCTGACGTGTTGAATCGATTTTTTTTGGAGGGATAAAATTGGGAAAACGTATCGCGAATTTCCAACTCTTGCAATATTACACATTTGTATTATAATTATACTTTTAGTACTAAATTAAAATTTCGTACTAAAATCCACCCAAAATTATCTGTAATAATTTATACGTCTGTATTTCTGAAGTTTAATTTTATAAAATCTATTCACTTATTTATCGCTCACACAGTTCAAGAGCTATGTATCACAAAATATTTTTGGTACAGAAGGATTATTTCGGAATACCAAAATGTCAATCATCGCTGTCAGTCATCGTGAAAATTTTATACTTGTATCTATACATCTCTACGTATCTTTATATATACATTTCACGTTTTAGAACAAAACATTAAAAGGTTTATCGATAACTACATAGCGTATCGCCGATTTCGTTCTACTCGTTCTCCAGGTGACAACGACGGACGGGGAGCAGCCGGACGACAGCTTCGATCTAATCGACGTGCCGGCCGAAATGTCGCCCCCCGCCACGGCCCCATCACAACAATCCATCCATCCCGGCGGTCATCGAGGACATCCCGACGACGCGATTGGGGGTAGCTGCACCTCGTCGCCGGCGTCGCCCACGTCGCCGATCTCCGTCGCGGCGCCGTCGAGTCAAACCACGCCGCCGTTGCCGCTTCCATCGTCGCCGACGACTCCGCTTTGCGCCTTCGACGGGACCGAGGTCGCCGGGCCGTCCGGTCGTGGCGCGCGTGGTTCGGCTCAAGGTAACGACGGTAACGTCAAGACGACCACCGGGGGTTCCTCCATCGGTCAGGGACACAACGGGAGTAACGGCGCCGAGGCGATTCTGCCGCCACCCACGCCGATGGTTAGCACGCACCAGGAGACCAGATTCACCTTCGGCGGTAGCGGCAGAACCCCGCCTCTTCCGGATCTCAGAGCGGCGGATTTCTTTAGGTAAATTACCTGGTAAATTACTTAGGTAAATTTACCTGACCTTGTCGTCTTTTCGGTGAATAATAATTAGCGAAATAACGCGATGGGTAACAGCTAGTGAAACGCGATTAAATGAAAGGCAGTAAATAGCAATCGTGGTGGAAAGCAAATTTTACGTGGATTTTATTTCACCTAGGCTGTGCATGAGAGGCATATAGATACCGATACAACGCGAGAAAATTCGCTGGAAAATTTAGGAACCGAAAAGTTGAGACTAAAAGATACTGATATGAAACTTTGAAAGACTTTCTTATCTTGAAATTACGAGAAAAATTTTAGGGGGATTTAGGACAGAACGCAAACTTTGTTACTATATGTAAAACTATATCGACAGAACTATATGGTCTGTCAGCTAAATTTTTCCTTTCTGAATTTTGGATCGCTATCTTATATAATAATTTTCAAATTAAAGATCCACAGCTCTGCCCCGGGCAAAATTGAGCTTTCTTAAATCTTTTACTTTGTTGTATAAAATATCTTTTTCTCTCGGGGTACAAAGTTTTAAGTCGCTATAGAAAAATTTTCCAACTGATCTCTTAAGTTAAAATTTCTTGGGGAAAAAGTTAGGGCACTTTGCGAATTGAAGTCGCTGCCTCCCGCGTAATCGCGACGAGGCCGAGACCTTTACAATCTCATTCACTCATTTAGCACCCCTGTGAGGGGTTCGGTGGACGCGGGCCAGCCCGATTCGGTCGACACGCGTTCCTCGATTCGAAACCTGGTGGCCGCCCAGGAGAAGCAGAACGCCAGGGTGGGTGGATATCAGATCGATTACGCGGCCGGCGGGAAAGCCAACTCGATTCAGCCGAACGCGCTGGAAAGGGGCACAGCCGATCATAAGCGGAGTCAAAAGAGGCCCAATGTCAACGTGACGACCAATCCGCTCGATATATCGCTCATAGGTGCGACCCAGCCGTGCAATACCCAAGGCTGTAACGTTCAGAGTAACGCGAGCACGAAATCGCGTGGAAGATCAGCGGGTGAGTCTCCCGAGAGTCTCCTTTTCTCCTCTCCTCTGCGAAAGAGGCCCCCGATATTTTGTTCTTACGTAGTTGTTTCTTATAACGCGACGTCAAGACTTCCATTGAAATCCCACGACGGCGACGACAAACCGCCGTCGTGATCCGCCGGCGACCCGTCGACGATAAAGGGAAGGAGGAAGGAAAGAATTCTCTCGCGTACGCTATTCGCCTCCGTCGACCTCCGCTCCCTCGAATTTCTAGGCGCAAATATTCCCGCCTTCCCCTCCCCTCCTATCCTTCTCCTCTCTTTCATTCCGATCACGTTGACCAATTCATATTCACGGTAATTTACCTTGATGAGCTCGGATCCTCCTAATGGAGATCGATCGCCCATTCGCGGGCTGGACATTACGAATTGAAAAGCGGAAAACCGGCAACCTCGGTTAACATCGATCGCGAGTCACCGATTTTATTCTCTAGTTGCGTGTGTGTTACTCAGCCAGGCGCTGTCGATCGCTCTAACCAGTTAACCAAGACTATCGACCGATTCCGCAGTCGGGGGGGGGTTGTTTAAGTATAATTTCACTTAGCGCGATACGCTACCTCTAGAATGCTATACTCTACGGCACTATATGACGGCACCTGCAATACAGAGAGAAAGACCCTGGAAAGATGTGGTCAAACCGCGAAATGTTTTAGCCCTTTTATGCCACTTACCACTCAAATTAAATTGGAACACTGTTGTCGAAATTAATTAAATTGTGAGACGATTCACAACACTGCTAATTTTATCATTTAGACCGTACCTGCGTACTGTCTCCCTTATCCGAAGACGTAAATTACTTCTTCGCGCCTTTTGTATAGACTCCGCGGGAAGTTTCAACGACATTCGCGCGAGCGGAGATGGTAAAATATGTTTAATCGGGGTTAGCGCTAATTGACATCGACGCGAAATCGATCCCGCGTGCGCGATTTTATGTACGTGTGCGCGACACGACATACGTGAGATAGAGGGAACGAGAGGAGACGGAGAGAAATGGACGGTAGCTCTAAGGAAATGAATTGATGTTCTTTTCTTTCAGAATCTCATCCACTCGTTTCAGCCATTCATTCATGGGTCAGGCTCTTTTTCCCGTTTTGCGCAATAGGTATTACATAGTCGGCGAATAGACGATATAGTCATTCTCGTATCCACACGTATCCGGGGCGACTGTCGAAAGCGCATGAGACCTGTACGATAATGACGATTACGATGACGACGACGATGACGATGACGACGACGACGATGCAATAATGATAATGTGTGAACGAATGAGAACAGTGGGACATGACCTTGATAAACCTTCCTACTCCCTTCGGCGGCCGCCCCTTTTAATGGTATTGCGTGGATACAATACGGTAATACACATGCGACTATGCGAATGCGCTTGGGCTTCTTCTCTTTTGTTCTCCATCTCTTGATTTCGCTGCATCTCTGTCCTCTCTTCTTGCGTTGTCGATCAACTGCTTGCGCCTCTTTCGCGCGAATCTCAGACAACGGCGACGGCAACGAACGGCGACAACGACGTCTAACGACCCTCTGTCTGGAAAAAAATAGAGGAAAAAAAAAACACGCGAATAGATATTACATTCTTGAACGAAAGTTATTCCCGCAAAATAGTCTATGCGACGTGATGACGTTCTTAATGTCGCAGCTCGTTGTCCCGCGTAGTCTGCGATGTTAATCGGTGCTGTAGCCGAGGAAAATATCGTCGCCGATGCTTTGATCGTTAATTGAAAAATCTGTTGCGTGTGCAAAATCGATTGATCGCTTAATGTGATTTCTATCGCCGTAAAACCGTTCGCATAAACACTAATTAAAAATAACGGAGGATTCAGAAGAAGTATTTCTTTTTTAATTATAAAATCAGATCTACAAAGGTGATAGAAAATCAATTAACCTCCTAACTAATTCCATTCGATGCTTATGGGAACGATTCATAAAGGATGAGGTAGGAACACTTATTTGTCATTCTCAGTTTGTAAAATAAAATGTGTAAAATGTGTTTTTTTATAGATTCTACTTGCTATGTTTACATTTTGAATTTTATCTCCAGAAACATGAAGACAGAATATATTATATTAGTTATTGCAGTAAAAAAAAATTGTGTGTGTATTTTCTGAGAAAAATTACACATCTAAAATTTCTACCTCTTCCATATATTTTTGCTTTCTCCTATATTGTATGTATTGCAAAATGTGAATTTTGTCGTTATAGGTAGATAAATAGACGATCATAGATTTATTGACGATGCCACGATATTAAGAATTAAAACGAATGTAATTTTATCGAGTTTAATTCTGAATTCTACAAATATGGAAAAATGAATTTTACTATAATAAATATACAGTTTTTGATTCACAAAGTTTTGCATTACACCGAATGTAATTAAGACTGGTTTTCACGAATCTGAGTTTAATTAAAAATATATTTCGCATATATGTATAAAAAAAAGTAATCACTAAGCTATGTTAAAAAAAAACAATGTAATTTATATTATATTTATAATTAATATTTTTCATAATAATTTCT